TGATGGAGTCAGGACTCAGGAGGACACGAGGAGAGCTGGAGCTCTGATGGAGTCAGGACTCAGAGACACGAGGAGAGCTGGAGCTTTGATGGAGTCAGGACTCAGAGAGACACAAGGGAGATGGAGCTTGATGGAGTCAGGACTCAGAGACACGAGGAGAGCTGGAGCTCTGATGGAGTCAGGACTCAGAGACGACGGAGAGCTGGAGCTCTGATGGAGTCAGGACTCAGAGAGACACGAGGAGAGCTGGAGCTCTGATGGAGACAGGACTCAGAGAGACACGAGGAGAGCTGGAGCTTTGATGGAGTCAGGACTCAGAGAGACACGAGGAGAGCTGGAGCTCTGATGGAGTCAGGACTCAGAGAGACACGAGGAGAGCTGGAGCTCTGATGGAGTCAGGACTCAGAGACACGAGGAGAGCTGGAGCTCTGATGGAGTCAGGACTCAGAGACACGAGGAGCTGGAGCTTTGATGGAGTCAGGACTCAGAGAGACACAAGGAGAGCTGGAGCTCTGATGGAGTCAGGACTCAGAGACGAGGAGAGCTGGAGCTTTGATGGAGTCAGGACTCAGAGAGACACGAGGAGAGCTGGAGCTTGATGGAGTCAGGACTCAGAGAGACACGAGGAGAGCTGGAGCTCTGATGGAGTCAGGACTCAGAGACACGAGGAGAGCTGGAGCTCTGATGGAGTCAGGACTCAGAGACACGAGGAGAGCTGGAGCTCTGATGGAGTCAGGACTCAGAAGAGACACGAGGAGAGCTGGAGCTTTGATGGAGTCAGGACTCAGAGAGACACGAGGAGAGCTGGAGCTTTGATGGAGTCAGGACTCAGAGACACGAGGAGAGCTGGAGCTTTGATGGAGTCAGGACTCAGAGAGACACGAGGAGAGCTGGAGTTGATGGAGTCAGGACTCAGAGAGACACGAGGAGAGCTGGAGCTTTGATGGAGTCAGGACTCAGAGAGACACGAGGAGAGCTGGAGCCTGAAGGAGTCAGGACTCAGAGAGACACGAGGAGAGCTGGAGCTCTGATGGAGTCAGGACTCAGAGAGACACGAGGAGAGCTGGAGCTTTGATGGAGTCAGGACTCAGAGAGACACGAGGAGAGCTGGAGCTTTGATGGAGTCAGGACTCAGAGACACGAGGAGAGCTGGAGCTTTGATGGAGTCAGGACTCAGAGAGACACGAGGAGAGCTGGAGCTTTGATGGAGTCAGGACTCAGAGAGACACGAGGAGAGCTGGAGCTTTGATGGAGTCAGGACTCAGAGAGACACGAGGAGAGCTGGAGCTTTGATGGAGTCAGGACTCAGAGAGACACGAGGAGAGCTGGAGCTTTGATGGAGTCAGGACTCAGAGACACGAGGAGAGCTGGAGCTTTGATGGAGTCAGGACTCAGAGAGACACGAGGAGAGCTGGAGCTTTGATGGAGTCAGGACTCAGAGAGACACGAGGAGAGCTGGAGCTCTGATGGAGTCAGGACTCAGAGAGACACGAGGAGAGCTGGAGCTTTGATGGAGTCAGGACTCAGAGAGACAAGGAGAGCTGCAGCTCTGATGGAGTCAGGACTCAGAGAGACACGAGGAGAGCTGGAGCTTTGATGGCAAACACTGGCGGTTTATTGGAGCTTCGTCCGGAGAATTCACAAGACATGTCACGGCGCCACGAGTTGACCACACGGTTGAGATCAATCAATTCTCAAGAACCTTCCTGTAGCTCGAGGTTTTAACTAGTTCAGAGTTTAATAATCAACATTCTTTATCAGCGAGACTAAACATGATGGACCCTGAATCTAAGAGGAAAGAATG